AGAAAAACAATGATGAAAAATAAATTGCAGTAAGATATAGTAGCCTAAGATGGGGAAGCACTGAGCAGGAGTACCTAACTACAGAGTAGGGAAAGGCTGTGACGAAAGGCTTTCTAAAGAACAGAAGAATGAAAGATGGGGGTGGCTTGTGGGCCATGCTCTGAAGGGGCCGGAAAGCCACATTTATGGTATCTTGACTTCTGAGCCACATGTTTAAGTACCTTTTGTGTCTCAGTCATGGTGTTTGTCAGTTTTATGTTCCATATTTTCTCAATTTGGACTCCCTGTCAAGAGACAGCTGATTCTTTAAAGTTCTCCAAATGCTGCATGTGGATTCCTGCTTCTGCAACTCTACCCCCAATGGCCTGTTCATTCTTGCTGGTCTAGGAGACAAGATTCTGTTTTATAAGGGCATCATCTATTTCACACTGTCCTCACCTTCTCTGCTGTACATGAACATATTTCTAAAAGCAACTTGACTTCTTTCCTCAGTTTTCCAGAAACAGTTTCTGTTTCCAGGACATTAGCAAGCCCATGTTAAATGGCAGGGATTGGAGAAAGAAGTGTCTACATTCTCTTCACATAACGTAGAGAGCTCAAAGACTCTTCAATATGTAGAACTCCTTGAGGGAGATTTGTGACTCACCAAATCATTCTTCCCTGTTTTAAAAGATAAAGGATAGCTTTTTCAGTTACTTTGAGTAATGACAGCCAAATGGTAACTTCAAATTTAATTTAATATAGACTATTTAATCTGAAGCATAGTAAACAATAGAAACATAGCAATAGATATGAGACGAAACAGAAGATATTCAACCTTTAAGTGTGAATATATCACTATTTATTAATATTCTCAGATTATTGAATATTTGTGTCTCTGTACCACTGTGGATAATGAAACCTCCTATTCATTCATAGCAGTGGGTATTAATGTGATTGCAGAGAGTTGAAAAGCATATATATACCAAAAACTAAACTAACAAACAACTTGTTCACAATTTTCTAATCACAATTGCACTCTGCTGCCAAATCTGGCCAAAAGTAACAATATAGAATATACAATTATAGTATTACTTTGTTACCAAAGAAGTTCATAGTAATTAACATAGAAAAAATTAAATTCACAAATGAAGTATGTCATTATTAAAATGCATATTGATTTTTTTCAGGCAATGTGTTGTTCTACATTTTTGTATGAAATAAAGATTCCAAGTTACAAAAGCAAAATTCTACAGTATTTAAGTTACAAAAAACAAAGATACCATGATGTGTGATGTGAAACTTAGTAAGAATACACAAATAACAAATTATACTGGATATATCTATTAGCATTTTACTTTTGGCAAGCCAAAGGGAATTTGTAAAATTGATCAGAAAAAAAACCCTGCTAACCATAATATGTCATATTTTGATGCAACTAATTACTATTACATGGATTCAAATTTACCATGAAACAAATCATGCAGACTGTAACTTGGGATAACACATTTTGCCTTCAAGGGAGACTTAAATTTTCTACCAATGTCATAAAAGATACCACCAGATATTTTTACTCGAATATCTTCTTAAGACAAAAGTAAATCTAACACCATGCCATATTACCATTTCTTATATTATTATACTAACGATCTAATATCATCAGATCCATCTTCACATTTTCCTTATTGATGGCAGATAGGATATTCTGTTGACTGGTACAAAGACTTCCTGTAAAGAAAGTGATTGTTAATGATCCGTGACTCTTAATGAATCATAATTCCTCCAGTATTTGGACTGGTGAATGATCTCTTGTTTGACTTGATATTCTGGAAGTTCTATATAAAAGTAAAAGTAAAAGTTAACAACATGCCATTCTCATGATTTTTACAAATGAGCTTCTGTGTGCTTAGTTTTGGATGGATTCTATGCCCAGCGAGAAAAACATAATCAAGTTTCTGAATGTAAAGTCCCAATAGTCAAATATCTTATGGTCTTTCTAAGAAGCATCATGCATTTAACTGTGATTGCCAAGAAATCATTTTTTTAAAGAATCTTTTAAATTACATTTAAGTTTCCAATTATTTATCTTTATTTAATTTTTAAGTTTTAAATATTAAAATTTAAGTTATTGGTTTCTCGGCAAATTTCTCTGAAGACTGAGGGTTGTTTTAATTTTGCATAACATGAAACAAATGTAAAAATGCTAAGCTGTGTTGCAGAAGGTATTCACATGGATTAAACCTGACTGACCACTAAGAGAGGGAACAATGTCTGAAGTGGCTATCAGCCTTCTTTCATTAATGAAGCACCAGTCATCTCCAGATGTAGGGTAACATGAGCTTTGTTGTTACTGATGCTTTTGTTTGCTTTGTTCTTTTCATGACAGCGTATAATTTTGTCATTTACTTAACCTAGATCATTTACTTTCTGGATCATTCAGATTGAGGGTTAAGGATCAATTTTAAATTGTATAGAAAATAATTTGGGGGCGCCTGGGTGGCGCAGTCGGTTAAGCGTCCGACTTCAGCCAGGTCACGATCTCGCGGTCCGTGAGTTCGAGCCCCGCGTCGGGCTCTGGGCTGATGGCTCAGAGCCTGGAGCCTGTTTCCGATTCTGTGTCTCTCTCTCTCTCTGCCCCTCCCCCGTTCATGCTCTGTCTCTCTCTGTCCCAAAAATAAATAAACGTTGAAAAAAAAAATTAAAAAAAAAAAAAAGAAAATAATTTGTAACTAAATGTGGTATACTTAAGAGTATGAACGATTTGCCTTAAAATACACATTACAGTAAATTCAAGATTTTTGTCTAAAACATCCACAGTCTCATGCAATGAAGGGAGAGGCCTTTCTATGCAAATGAGAAAGGAAATGAACTTCCAGCTGACACACAGGGAATTTCAATAGGCAACACCTTATTTATTTATGGCACAACGGTAATCTGTAAAAACTGACTGCCCTGTGTGGTAGATATTAACTTTACACATTATGTTTGCCTAAGAAATAAAGATTCAGAACAATTAAGATAAGATTTTTGCTAGGCTAGAAAACCATCTGTGCCTCTCTGAACAATATGTCTGTGATGGAATGTCTAGGTAGGCCCAGTAACTGAACAGTGCTCTCAAATATTTTAAACCAAATAAAGTTAAGTTTAATAAATCCCAATGTCATTTTCCCCCTTAGAAAATGATTCTAATTATTTGGCCTTTAAACTGTATCTTGGAACCCAAGAAACATCTTCTCATACAAATACAGCTTTTAAAGCCTTGGAGAAAAACAATGCGTTTGGGTACTGGTGTTGGTAAGCTCCAAGTTAATGGTTCAGTGGAATGGTATCCAACAAGTGGATATTACATTTCAAAATAAATACATTTGAATATCTTTAGTCAGAACATAGACTCCTATGCCTGAGCTCTTGGTACTGCCCTACACCTCCTCATTTAAGTCTTTGATTTTATCTGCCTGGTTGTCAAGGCCTCAACAGCGCCAGTTTTCTGAAGGAGCAACACGTATGCACGCACTGGGTAGTTTACGGAGTCCTCCTCTGTGAATGTCATCAGAGAAATGTCTATTGGCGGTGCTCTTTGCTAGGCCTCATCGTACTGATAAGTATTTTACGTGTGTGTGTGTGTGTGTGTGTGTGTGTGTGTACATGATATATATTCATATATGCAAACAGACATATATTTCTTCATTACATGATACTCAAATTGTATGCAACTATACACACATGTATAATGAATAAGCAAATGAACATCATTGATTTATAAATACGAGTTTTCTTAAATGAAAGGTAAGCAGATGGACACCATTTATACCTATTTGTCAATGTTAAATAAGTGGAAAAATTTAGACCTTGGACATTTAGAAATCTAGAGATTGATATATCGCTAATGTTAAGTCTCGCATGGCCGCTGGAACATTACCGCATTCCAGCAACGAGGGCAGCCAAGGAAAAAGATTTGGAAAGAGTGAATGAATGTCAGGAAATAGTAATAAGTCTTTCTAAGGGTCCTTGGGAGGCCTCATTAAATCTCTCTTTTAATAATTGCATATTAAAACATGAACAAAGTTTTTTTGCACATAAGAAATTAGAGGGAAGAGGAAATCTTCAGGTAAATATAAACTGTGTGAAGCACACAACAGCTCCGTGCTGTTAGCTGATCAATTCTGCAAATGATTTGAATAAGGAATGCAGCAAAGTTCAACTCGGATTTTGTAGGAAAACCAGGGGAAAGATTGATAACAGTTTAATTGGGGGGAACAATGCACATGTGCTTGTAAAATGCAACATAAAAAAATTCTCCCTGATCACATTTCTCTTGCATGTGAAGACTTAGAGTAACATTTCCATGGACCTATCCCACATTAAAAAATGATTTAGTATGTCTTAACAGAGAAGCTTTCATTCTCAGGCCCTTTGTAAAGTCTGCCATTGTGAAATGTGCTTTAACTAGGCTGATTCTGTTCCAGCCCTTCCCTTCTGAGTTGTATCCAGTTACCTCAGTTTAAGCATAACCAGGAGAAGGATTCCACAGGTGACTGTCATGCACATGACAGCATAGATTACTTCTCCTAGAAACACAAGATTTAAAAAAAAAAAATTAACGGATTTTTAGTGAGAATAAATAGTAAAAATAGAGGATAGATTTTTTTAACTGACCATTGAAGGGGGAATGAAATCCACTTAGAGTTATTTCCTTCGCATGTTTTCTTTTATGCAATGCAATGCCTTTGACATTAGACAGGGTCGGGTAATCTGAAAGAGAATAATGAAAATGAGATTACAGTATTTAAATGTTTCACATTACTTTTTCTCCATGGGTTGCAATTTGCTTTATATTGTATTACAGAGCAGCAATTTATTTATCACACTATCTTAATAAAATCTGATAAAGATAAAAGTGGGAGCACTTTCCTTACATTTTAACACCTCTTTTTTCTACCTTTTAATCAGATCATTTCTTTACAGAAACTGTTTTGTCTTTTTTTTTTCCAAATGATAATTAGAAAAGTGGATTACACTTTATGACAGTTCATTGCACTTTATACAAAGACTAGGGGGAAAAAGCAGCAAGTTTAGGCTACCCATTATGATAAATAAAAGATTCCTTTTTTTACAAGAATTGTTGTTTTAATGTGATTTTAACAATATCAGTTCTCCCTAAGACTCACTGTATTTATGAATTCCAATAGACTTTCTAAACTACAATCACTCTGTTCACCCCTCCACTCAGACTTCAAGATCCAACTTTACTTATTTCACTATTATGTCTCTTTTAAATTCCTTCAATTTCTATTGTTGCTACCTATTTTTTGTTACCCTTAGGGGAAACTCCTGGCTGCTCTATGGCCGTAGTCTTCATGGGAGTATTTTGCTAAATGCATTTCTAACTTACTTCACAATTCACAAGAGAAAAATGTGTGATCCTTAAAATTAATTAACAGGTTCATTTTAGGTGCCTTTCACTGATAATTTGAAGTGAAATCACTCCTAGCTTTGACTCAATTCAATGCAAATATGAATGTCAAACATACCAATAGCCCAATAACCAATTTCTTTGATGATGAAGATTCAGGTAAAAGATTGAGTCTTTCAAAAAGGTGGAGGATCTCATGAGATAAATCTTCCTCTTGAGACAGGATTTGCTGTCCTCTCTGATTGTTTCATGTACTTTGAGAACTGGAACACTAAGTATGAGTAGACTGCTGTTTGTAGAAATGAGTGCATCACATAGTGGAAATACATCTGATGACAATGAGTGACAATAGGGTTTGAGTAGGAAGGGAGATGAGAAGACATATTACCATTAGTCCCATTCCATCCTCTCTCCACCTGGCGTTGCTGCTGTTCAGCAGCCAACTGCTTGGAAGCCAACATTTGAGGTCTATGTTAGGAATAATCACCAGAAAGCACAGAAGACAGACTTCAGATCAGTAACAAAGGTCTCAGGGTGGGGCCAAGAGAAGGAGCCAAACATAAGAGGTAGAAAAGTGAGGTTTTTTTTTTTTTATTAGAAAACCTATTTTCAAGAAGTCTAAACTCTAATGCAGTGAAAATATTTTAGCTCAAGATTTTTAAATCTCTTATTTACATATTGGATTATTATATATTTCTAGAAGTCTTTCTTAGGAACTGAAAAATCTGTAATGCAATCGGTTTACATTACTCTTCTAAATGTAAAAGTAATAAAGGTAGATTGTGCAATTTTTTTTCAATTTTTTGGTTATAAAATACTTTTTGTTGTTCACTAAAGTTAGAATAGAAAAATTGAGCTATTTCAAATACAATTTTTATACTAGTGGTTTCTTTTTTTGGATGAATCTTAATCAAATTTATCTTACAAATTTTAGTGAAACAACTTATATTAAAAGTTTAATTCAAATCAATTCAGAATATGAAGAGTAGTTTTACTTTAAAAAAAATTCTATGGTGGCTCAGTTGGTTGAGTGTCCAACTCTTGATTTCAGCTCAGGTCATAATTCACGGGTCCTGAGATAGCCCCGTGTCAGACTCCATGCTGGGTGTGGAGCCTGTTTAAGATTCTCTTTCTCTGCCCCTCTGCCCCTTTCCCCCACTCATGCTCTCTTTCTCTCTAAAAGAAAAAAGAAAAGAAAAAGAAAAAAAGAAGAAGAAAAAAATCTATGGCATTTTGTGATGTTGTAAACATTTAAAAATGTTTTAATTCTATAGCATTTTGAGGCAGATTCATGGTTCGAATGTAAACGTATATAATGTACATTGGATAATTATGTGAATGATGCTATATTTTCCTTTATGAAATTCTATCCCTAAGTACATTTGGTCTAGTTAGGTACAATGATTCATCTTTGCATAAGAAAAAAGGTCACTATTTTGACAAATTAGGCTACCTTTTAAATATATCTTCCTAAAGTGATTGTTAAACATTCACCTAGCAAAATTTAGAAAGAATCGTCTCATTCACTAAATTTCACTCACATGGAACTCATTAACAAAGTTATAATAGATCAATGACAGAAATGTTAGCTAATGATCCCAGTGAAATTTTTAATGTGTCTAGCAATCACTCCACAATCTTAAATATTGCCCCCTAGGAGGATACCGAATATCAGTTAGAGAGATTAATGTTACAGAGGGTTTCTTGGCTACTGAAGCCCATTGGAGATTCTCTTCTGCCTTTTATAAACAGTGAGGTTTACAATGTTTTATAACCATGAAATTAAAGTCGGCAGAGTTAATAACCAACCTCGGTCCCACACCATCTGCTATATTTATAGATAAACACTGTCAGTGACTTGTTTATCTTAACTCATACCCTAGAGGAGTTAAACACTATTATGAACTATATTGTAAAATCCCTGTACATTTGACGGGAAATCAAGATTAATTTCAGCCTTATGTTAAGAACAAATTTAAATAGTGTTCTCCCCAAATGAGCTACAGAGATCTGATCATTCCTTTTTTTTTTTTTTTTTTTTTTTTTTTTTTTTTTTTTTTTTCTTTTCAAATCCTTGTGCAGCAGTGGCTGAGGGCTGATGGGATCTAAAACTTTACTTTGTATAATTTATATGATATGGTAAATACATAATTAAAGATATGATACATCATATAAAATCTAATGATTTAAAAATAAATGTCATGGGGTGCCTGGGTGGCTCAGTCGGTTGAACATCCAACCTCAGCTCAGGTCATGATCTCACAGTCTGTGGGTTCGAGCCCCGCATCGGGCTCTGTGCTGACAGCTCAGAGCCTGGAGCCTGCTTCAGATTCTGTGTCTCCCTCTCTCTCTGCCCCTCCCCTGCTCATGTTATGTCTCTCTCTGTCTCAAAAATAAAAACATATAAAAAAATTTTAAAAATAAATGTCAGAATAGTTGAAATAGAAAGTAAATATAATCACAAAAAAACTTTTGCAGAGAATAATTTAAAAAATATATTTTATAGTTATTTATTTTAATTGTTAATGTATCACATGGCATAGTTAAATTTTATTGTCTTCTTACCATTTTTAAGGAAAAGATTGCCAATACCATGGCAATATCATAGTAAGAATGAAAATTCGAGGACGACCTTCTTGCATATCCAAGGATTGCAGCTATTTCTAATTTGGCCATTATTTTCTCACCTGAAGGTATTTCAGTTCCCAAATTGGAAATAATTTTTGAATTTTTTCACTTAATAATCAGTAGTGATATTCATGTATCATGGACTCTTTCAATTATTAGTGTATAAAACCTTCTAAGATGAATCTAAAAAGCGTTGCAGTTGGGAAGAAAGGAAAATATATAAATATGTTTAAAGTATGAAAAAAAACAATACATTAGTAATGTGATAAACTGAGGTATTAAAAACATACAATGACAATATAACTCCACTGCTTCTAAAATGTATGTCATAAAAAGTAAATTGAGCAAATAATATGCTTGACCTTAATAGACATAACATGTATCAACAAAGCACATTCATTTATTTAGGGCATAAACTCCAAAGAAGACAAAACAATGTCTTAGATTTATCTTCTTGCACTATGTATGGGTAAACAAATGGTTGCCAGGGGTTAGGGAGAAAGGGAAACTTAGAGGTATTAGCCTGCTAGTTTGCAATCCTCAGGAATTCCCTGATGAAATCTATAATCAGCCCCCCATACACAGAGAGCAAGGAAAAACTAAAGAAAAAGGTAAGCCATTCCAGATTTGTAGGTGGATGTTTTAACAAGGGAACTTATATACGAGGCTTGTCTTGGGCACTCACAAGATAGTAGATCTTGGCACTCACCCACCAGAAAAGTAAAAGTTTATACAGATGTCTTAAATGGGGTTCAGCCACACAGACAGTTCATATGGTCTCAACAACACATTGCTCTCTCAAGACTGCATCTTTGAAACACCTCTGGCTATGAGAACAGAGAACAGGGAAGGTGGCAAGGATCCTCCAATTGTCCTGGTATAGCTCACATGTCAACCAACAGTAATATCTTCTGGCGACCTCCTCCAACATAATCCAAAGGTACAAAATTTCAGTTATGCAAAATGAGTAAGTCCTAGAGACCTACTATATGCCATAGCGCCTAGTGCTAGCAATGCTATATTTTACACTTAAACATTTTCTCAGAGGGTACCTATTAAGTTAAATGCTCTTATCACACATGCAAAATAATAGCAAATAGAGGACAGGAATAAACTTGTGGAGGTGATACAGATTATACTTATGGTGTAGATAGTGGTGGTAGTTTCCTGGTGTATATTTACCTTGAAGCTCATCAAGCTGTATATATTAAATATGTACAGTTCTCTGTATGTCAACAAAAACAAAAGCAAAAAACATCTCCTTGAATAAGTGTACCCTGTAGAACATTTGCCTTGATCTTTTGGCATGAACCAAAAAGCTCAGTGTTAGTGAATGACGGTATTGACAAGCGTGGCAACTACTCTTCGGTCCTCCGTTGAATAACAGTGTTGTTCACACGTCAAGTAGATTTGCTTAGAGATTATAGTGAGTCTCAGCTGCACTACTAAAATATCTCGAATTTTCTACATTTTCCTTAATAGTTTCTGCAAATAATGAAATAGCAACTGAGACAGCAATTAGAATGCAAATTATGTATCGGTATCTGATAACCAACACTAGATTATTTTTTTTTTTTTAATTTTATTTATTTATTTTGAGAGAGACAGAGACAGTGCCAATGGAGAGGGGCAGAGAGAGAGAGAGAGAGATAGAGAGAGAGAATCCCTATCAGGCTCTGTGCTACCAGTGCAGAATCTGATAGTGGGGCTC